GTCAGGCAAGACCTACCTGCAACAAACCGTGCTGGCTATTCCTCAGGATGTTGCCATCAGCCAGTTTGTCAAGAAAGGTATCTTTGATAATTTTTCCAAGATCTTCCCCAGGATAGAGGTCAGGCTGATGGGCCTGTAGTTCCCCGGATCTACTTTCCTCCCTTTCTTGAAGATAGGCACCACATTGGCCCTCTTCCGATCTTCCAAACACCCAGTTTCAAGCATAATTAACTTCTCTCTAATCTAGAAACCAACACACACTGTTCCTAGTATTGGACATGGTGCACATTCAGTTTGGAAGAATTTCCAAAATATAGGGAAGAGCCATTTTCATGTTCATCATTTCCATAAGACATTTGTGGTTAGGGGGTTAGAGGTACAGTTTGCAGATGGATTTGCAATTTCTTAATTCTCAGAATCTTCAGATCTTGTCCTTTGGTTCTTTGTCACATTAAGACATTGCCGTGGGTCTTAATCCAGCCTACTCTGTACTCTCATCTTTTCTGCAGTACATAGGAATGTTCTCTGTGTGAGGAACACAGGATAGAGCCCATGATGGTGCTATGCCATGACTTCCTCTAGGAGGGGGTGCAAAATCTGGTCCAAAAGCCAGATCTGATCCATGTCACTGTGCCCACAGAGCTCCTACATGGGCTGGAAATTTGGGGGTGGGGTCTGCCACTAAATTCAGGGTACAAAGCCCTGCTGAGGACAGGTTTCAGCAGCAATGAAACTAGCATTATCGCCTATGGCTCCCTGACACTGCTTATATCATCATCACTGCTGCTTGATCTGCTCCTGGAGGTGGATCAAGATTTGGCTTGTGAGTGGCTGATTTATTGCCATTAGGGATGTGAATAGAGTTAGAGTATTGTGCTAATAATGCTAAGGTTGGTTAGAAACAGTGCTAGTAATCCCAACATTGCAGGTTTGATTCCTACGGGGACATAAGACTTTTCCTGCCTCAGGAAGGAGTTTGGACTAGATGAACTTTTGAGGTCCCTTCTAGTCCTACTTTTCTACGATTTCTATGAGGTCTTTGCGGTTGGGATCTGATGGTCCAAGATCGGGCCTGGAGGGCCAAGCAAGTTTGACATGCCTGCCATAGGGAAAAGATGGAAATACTAGTCACAGATAGGCTAGTTCACTTAATATTATTCTATTACTTTAATACCACAGCAGCTAAACACCCCATTTTCATAGGCACTCTCTAAACACAATAGAATGTTGGTCTCCGTCCCAGTGAATTTATGGTCTAAGTGAACACAGATTTTCCTTAATTCAGTATGGCAGCTTGGATAATTTTCTGGGGAGATGGGAATATTTCACTGGTTTGGAGAAAAACAGTCACTTTTACACTACTGAGTTAGGGCTGAGAGTCATTAGTAAGCTGGAATATCTGGCAAGCAGAGTGCATCATTCTGCAAATGGCCAGGACAAGAGTAGTGGTTTCTTCAAGACACGTTGAAAAAAATCCAGCATCATTTTTGTTTTTACCTCCTCGCATATCTTGAGTTCAATAGGACTGGCTGCACTACATGGAGTGCTGCCCTCAGCTCCATTTGAACTGATCACAGCAGGTTCTGGTTCTAGGGGTAGGTCCAAAAAGTGTCTGATAATGTAAGTCGAGTTCTGCAAATTGCATAAGAAATCCACATGTCATGGTTGTTCCTTTTATCTGCATATTTATCTAAGAAGGGGGGAAGAACCAGGGGTGTCAGTTTTATATCTCCTAAGGATTCTTCTTTGGAGCAGATTGCCAGGTGTTTTGTGCCACCTGAGTACAACAAAGAAGCTGAGTCTGAGTATGAAGATAGAACCTCCAATCTCTTAGCAGGATGGTAAAATTGCTGGTAGCTGGTAGGTACTTGATATACTAAGATGATGTTTCTTCTGCAAGAGATACAGCCTGAGGCTCCCAACATTGAAACTTAAAAAAATTTCCAGCAGATAAACAAGGTCTAAAAAGCTGTTTTGTCTCCAGCTGAGTGTTAAATTCTTAGCTCAGTTTTCATTTGCTTAATAATGATATTAAGATTTAAATTACCCCAGATATGGCCTGCCTACTAACACCTCTTTCAGAAGAGACTAAGGAATTCACACTTCAGCTACAGCTGTTTATCTGGTGACATTTTTTTTTGCAAATCTGGGTTAAGAAGGCATAAAGTATCATTTTAAATTGGAAAAGCATCCTTCATTTTACAACACCTGGCAGAACTTGTGCAAAGTCCCCAGACTGCACAATCCACAATACTGCTTAGTTGCACAACAGAAGAACATGGTAGATTGTATTTAGAAGGCAGCAAACATAAATCTGTGTGTCCTTTCTGTCATTGGTCTGTTCACACTGAAAGAGACCTTGTTGGGTCCATTGGCTATAAGTTAGATTTTGAAAAATAACCCCTGCTTTGATGAATTCCATCAATAAAAATGCTGCCATTTGTCAATGGAAACAGCATATTGATGAGGAAAACACTGCCCTGTGCTATTTGTAACCTAAACAATGCAGCATTATGCCCAAAAGCAAAACTGAGGCTTTGCCCACTAACACTAGGTCTATACCAGAAAGTCTTTGCTGGCATAGCTATGTTGGGAGTGTGAAAACACTGAGCTGCTAACTAGTGTAGTACAAAATAAAATTCTCCTAGGCACTGGCAATGCGTAGGGGGTGCACGTGCACCCCTTGAGATTGGAGGTGGACCCTCTGACAGAAGCGCCCCCAGTGCTGCTAGTGGTACCTTCAGGCAGTTGCTGCTTGCCTCCCCCCTCTCCTGCTGCTGACGCTGTTGGTGGTATCTGTGGGTGATTGCCGACTGTTGGTTAATGCTCGCCACCCCCTGCCACCACTGCCATGGCTGCCTGCAGGAGCTCCCTGTCACCATGGCCCCACTGCCAGCCTCCATGGGCACATGTCATTCATGCTCCTAGGTTGATTAAATTTATCCTATGAAATAGTCCTTTAGTCAGCGAGCTTGTGTTGCTTGGTGACGTGGTATAAAATTCCTTCTTTTTTGCCAGTTCTTAGCTGGGACAAGCTGTGCTCCTATTAGGGTGCTTTCCTGGAATAACAAGGCATTCCAGGCCTGTAAAACTAGACAATCTCACAGGTGAAATTACACCATTTTAATTCTGATCAGTTTTTCATCTGCTGCGGTTAAACTGTATGAACCCCTGGTGGACACTGTTCAAAAGTCAACACTATTTCAAGGAAAGCTTATTCAGCTTTAGCTTACCCCTAACTGATTTAAATTAACCTGGAATAAACCCAGTTGGAACAAAACTAGTTCTCAGAAAGGTGTGTGTCAGATTCTTTATCTGTTTAAAAATCACATTTTTAGTTATACAATGTAACTTTTTCATGTCACACCTTATGTAGATGGGGAGTGCCTACAGACAAAAGTGAAACAGAAGCATCTTTCTTATTGTTGAGAGCAGTTTAGTTACCTTTTTGAAGTTGCTTGAAGGATACATAATAAACAAGCAGCTTCATTTTATAAAGCAAATTAAATGGTTTACAATTCTTTGAGTACTGCCACTCTGCATTGTTATTAGTGGTAACACCAGGAAGGACACTTTAAGATCTGACATTCACCCTTCATCATGATTTTATTTGCATTTACTAAAGGTCTGGGTCACACTGTGAGTCTGGATGTTTAAAAAGCTGTATACATTCAAACTTCCCAACCAAACCCTTCACCCTCCCAGCAAGATTCTTCAAAAAGACTTCAAAATATTAACCCCAGCATAAGACCTTTTGCAGCATGAACAGCATGTGCCCCCTGTGGCTGGGGGGGCATGGCTGTGCTGGTGGTGGTGGGAGCCTGGTGGCAGTGAGCAGGGAGCTCCTGCAGAGGCCGCTGGTGCTGTCGGTGATGGGGGGTGGCCGCTGGTGGTGTCTGCGGCAGGAGGGTGAGTGCAACTGCCCGCAGGTGCTGCCAACAGTGTTGGTGGCATCTTTTTGCAGGGGGTGTACCGCCACACTCGGGGGTGCATGTGCACCTGTGTGCACCCTCTACACATCGCCCATTTTGCAGTTATGAGACTGGACTGCTCTGTTGCATGTTCTGATAATAGCAGCTCTTCACCTGTAGACACTGGGCCTGTGAAGGTGCTGGTGTAGACCCTACTGTGGGCCTGGGGGGTTTTCAAGGGTAAATTTGAATCAGTAATCATGCCTGTGAGGTGCCTTAGCCACTGTACTGTGACAACAACAACAACAATGATAATAATATAGTAATATAATAACAACAACAACATAGTGGTAATAACAATGATGATAATAAAAGAATACGACACTAACAATAATAATGTGATAACAATGATGATAATATAATAATATGACAACAACAATAACAATGATAATGATGATGACAATAATATAATAATATAATGACAATAACAATAATACTATAATGATAATGATGATTATGATAATAGTGATAATGATAACATATGGCAATAGCAATAAAAATATGATAATAATATAATAGTAATAACAATAATAATGATAATAATTATGATGGTAATAGTGATAATGATAATATATGACAATAGCAATAATAATGTGATAATAATGATAATCTAATAATGTAATGGCAATAACAATAATACTAGTATGATGATGATAATGACAATCATGATAATAATATAAAGGCAATAATAACAATCTGATAATAATGATGATACTAATAGTATTATTACTAATAATCATAATAATGATAATACGAATACGTGAAAGCCACGCTGAAGAGTGGTTAGGCTAGACCATTAGCCTCCAGCCGTGTAAAAGTACAGTACGTGCAACGCCGAACACTGTAAAGGACTGAAGGGGATCCCCGAGCTCCCAAGGCGAAGCACCCCCAGCCAGCAATCCCGTCCAAGCGATCAGCTTTCTCCCCGAGCCCCGCCCCTCCCGGGAAAAGCGCAGCCAATCAGAACCCTGCGAAGCTTCTCCGCGTTGCTTTCCAGCCCCGGGCACCGCCCCTCTTTGTTGCGGCAGCCAATGGGGGCGCTCGGAACGCCGGCGGCCGCTGGGTAACGTGGTTACATGTCAGAGACTAACACTTGAGGATGGAACATGGACTGAGGCGCGGGCGGCAGCGGCAGCTGCAGCAGCCCCAGCCCCAGCCCCAGCCGCCCGGGGAGTGAAGCGCGCGGCAATGAGTCCGGCTCCGACCGGGTGAGGGGCAGGACTGGCCGGCTGGGTGGGCGAGTGCGGGGGGCAGCGCGGCGCCGAGGAGGGTGGGTGGGTCTCAGCTGAAGAATGGCCTGCAGCTGGGGAAACAGCAGGCACCCACCCACGTCCAGCGCAGCCCTCAGCTGCCGCCGCCGATCGCCTGGGAACAGCCTTCCCTGGCCGAGCTCAGTCCAGCACCCTTGGTGCCGCAGTCGGAGGCTCTCCCTGCGGCTGGTGGCTGACGGAACCACCAAGCTCTGGGCAAAGGGGAGGTGGTGAGTGCGGTGTGCAGGGGTCTCCGAGCAGGGGTTATATCGCATTTACATCTTGGACTCCCCAGCGTTTTGACAAGTTGCACCAGGTGATGCAGGGAGGGGGCTTTGCAGGGTGCTATTGTCCCTTTATGTGACAGCCACAGGGGTAGGATAGAGCAGAGCCCTACCAGGCTGCTCTCTTCTCCCTTTGGGGTAATGCAAAGAGGCATGTCTTCCAGTTGCTATTGTCCTTTTGTCTGTCATTCTCAGTGGATACTGAATGGGACCTAGCAATGTTATTCTCTTGTGTGGCAGCCCCAGGAGAGAGAGAGAGAGAGAGAGAGAGAGAGAGAGAGAGAGAGAGAGAGAGAGTGTGTGTGTGTGTGTGTGTGTGTGTAGGGGGGTGTGGTAAGCTGAACGCTGTGCATAAACTCCTGATAACATGCTCCTTCCTTCCCCGTTCTATCCCGGTTTTAGATTCAGCCCACAAGACAACAGTCTCAGCACTGATCACACTGGCTTCTATGAGCTCATATCGTCTCCATTTGCCTAATTCCTCTAGTAGCAAGTGAGATGGATAAGGCTTCCTTGTTGGGGCACTGAACTGTGTACATAGATAGCCCCACCTGGACTGCTTTTGCAATTCAAGCCCACCATGACAGGCTCCACTTCCAATGCTCACCACTGTCCCCATCCCAAGGGAGCTAAAGGGGGCCGGTCAAGAAGCACTCATGCCCGGCCAGTCAGCACGACCAACAATGGGGGCTCAGAGGAAGAAGACAAAGATGGAGGGGTGCTTTTTCTTGTTAATAAAAGCGGCTTCCCTATTGACAGACAGACCTGGGAGAGGATGTGGGTGCATGTGGAAAAGGTGCATCCTGAAGGCAAAGAGATAGTAGAGACAATAAGGAATGCTGTGTACCTGGCTAAAGTAAGTGACTGTGGTTCTTGGCAGACCCAAGAACACTTAGCCAAGCTGTTTTCTCTTTCTCCTGCAGTGTAGATGCATGCAAATGTGTGAATTATTACTCAGGTGTTAGCAACAGCTACAGTTAAGACTGCCTTTACACATTCACTCTCAGCACCTGTTTTGAGGTATTAATAACTTCCCAAACATGTTGCCTGTAGATTTCTAGATTTTTTTAGTCTATTTCAGTACATATTAATGTTTGCAAGTGTTTGTTCATCCCTCCAAAGAAAATACAAAACTAAAGGTTTGCCTTCATTGTTATGATGTTGTTTTCTACAGCAAGATTAAGTAACAGTTCACTGTTATCTTGCTGCAAAATCCCAGTGAAGAGTAGGCACTTGCATTATTACTATTATTACATCCAGAAACTAGTCATAGAGCAGGACCCTTTTGTGGTAAGTGCTGCGCACACACAGGACAGAAATGTTGTCCCTGCCATAAAGAATTTACAATTCAAGTGTAAAACAAGAGTCAACAAATGAATACAGGCAGATGGGATTGGGTACCGGGTGATGCTAAGAATTTAAAACAGTACAGCCAATAGGTAGTTAATACCCAGTAAAAAACAGGTGTGTTATGATTTGATTTCTTTTAATTGGCCAAACTGAAAAATAATAACAAAAAATGTTTTTGATAGAGGCACAACAAAAGCAAAGTAAGTATTTTGAGAAAATGGAAGACATCCAAAAAGTAAAAAAAAAATCATTTTGAAATCTTGTATTCAACCTGAATGAAATGTTTCTCTGAATTTTGGAGGTTTTAACACAATTTTTTAAAATTGAATTTTTTAAAATGCAAAATCAAAATGTTTGTTTTCTTTCAAAGAAGCTGAAACCAAACAGTTCTCTTTTTTCCAGCTGAAACAGACAAATTGAACCATATGCATCAGTAACTTGGGTTCACGTGAATCTGCATGTTTTTGCAAATAAGATATATTTGACTGAAAAATGTCACCTACTTGTAGTAAGAACATGCCTTCTTTTATCACTAAAGATGAAAATTGGCAGGTTATCATACAATATGCCTTTGGACGTCCCCAAAAATGCTGGTTTTGATTTGGTGGAATTTGGAAACCATGAGAACTTCCTTCCCACGTGGACAGTACCCTCCAGACACCACTTAAGCTGTGTTCACCTAGGCTGCAGTGACTGCACTGCACAATGCTGGTTCAGCTGCCCACTGACATACCCAGCTCATCAGGTGCAGCGTGAAGGAGGCAGAGCTCTTATGAAGGCTTTCCTCATCCAGAGCTATCTGAAACTAGCCTTGATACTACAGCCTAGATCTGGGCTTTCTAAGCTTTTGAATGTTTCCTAGTCCTTTATTTGTCTTCTGCCCCTGTTTCCCTACCGTGTGTGTCGTGTCTGTTTTGATTGTAAGTTCTTTCAGAGGACAGACTAATGATGGACTCTGCTCCATTCTGGTTTGGTTTTAAATCTACTATAATAGACATGGTTATTAATAGTAAAAATTGGACCTTCCTCACATTTGCCTACTGAAGAGTGTGAAATCCTAGCCTTGCTGAGGTTGTTGGGAAAATTCTTGTTGATTTTAATGGGGTCAAGAGTTTACCTGTAGTGATGTGTACATAACTTTGAGGAAGTTTAAACCCAGGGCTGGACTTCACAGCTTGGGCCCATCTTTTTTTTTTTTTCTATGCTCATACTGATCTCTGAATTCATGGTGAATACAGCAGAGAAGGTCTGCTTTGCATGTAGATTTTATACTAATTTTGGAGGTTTAATAATAAAGATGCATCTGGGTATTGGCAGGCATATGCCGTGTAAACCAAGGTGCACAGTCTTGCCTTTCCTGCTGTCAATTTCTTGAGACTGGCAGGTTACCCAGCTTTCTTCACCTGAAACAGACAAATCAACTTACATTTGTGAATAGATTTGGTCATGCTGGGTGCCTACACACGAGCACAGCTGCTGCTCCGACAGGCTGGAATTCTAGTGTGTTGGTACAAACTCAGTTAATTGAGTCTGCTGGAGCGTGACAATTGCCATGCTCCTGCAGCCTTCAGCATCTCATGTATCAGCATCCCCGTGCTTAAAAATGGTGTTGAGGGTGCTTGAACTAAAGCTTGTTGAATGAGCAGGAGACGCGGCGGTACTTTAGTTAGAGTGGATCTTGGAGCTGCTTTAATTAAACCGCTGCTCCTCCCCATCGCTGGAACATATGTAAAAGTGCCCCCTGATTCTACATTTTTCAGTGAGTAAAATATTCACCTGAAAAATATCACTTCCTGAAATTGTTTGGTTCTTTATCATGCTTTGTTTGATTTCTGACTGCAGCTGCTCCATTAGCAATTGGTGTCAGAGGTCAGAATAAGATGATCTCTCTATTTTAGGAGATTATGGGTTTGGTTCCCTTCTCATATACAGTAGTACAAATCAGGAATGACTGCTGAAGCTGGTTGCATTATACTAGTGTAAAACCTCCTGGGAGAGGAGGCACTTTTAGGGTGAGCAGTGAAAATGGTATGATTATTGTGACATGCATCTGTACTTCAGATTGGTTGGGATGCCTCTGTTCTTTACCTGGGTTAGTAAGTAGAAGCTGTAGACACAGTTGAGTCATCTGCCAAGGAAACATGCCCATTTTGTCAGTAATTCATGCTGAGTGAGGCTGAGCACCTGTGCAGTGCTTCACCCTGTGCAGCCTTAAAACACACTTAACGTTGAACGTCACTTCTTTCTGTAGGGCAGAAACATGCAGAGTAGAAGGAGAGGGAGGCAGATGCATGGAAGGGGAGGAGGAGATTAAGTATTGTATACTTTTCCCTTTCCCTCAAGTTATGAACACTGCACAGCTATGCCAGTGCAGGCAGAAATGTGTCCCATTATTCTTTCCCTCATCCTTTAATACAAGTTATTTCATTTAGCAAGCCGTCAGGGTTTGCCTCCACATCAGCTCTCTGGAGGGCAGAAAATGTAGGTGGTGTGTGGAGAACCTGTAGCAGCACATCCTAAGGGACCCACAGAGTTGGCACTTGCTTTCACTTGGAGTTTTCAGACTCTGGAGTAGGGAAGCTACAGAGCCTGCTCCCTTTGAGGCTGTAAGCCCCTGCCTCAGGTGGGAACGTGGAGTGAAACCATGCAAAGTGAACTCCAGTCTCTTCCTTGTTCCTGGAAGGCCTTTAATTCAAGGGCACGGGGAGTTGGGCCTATTTAATAAGGGTGTGCAAAGTGGGCCCTATTTGATTTGGATTCGGATTCGGCCCGAATCAGGGACAGTGATTCAATTCTTTGATTCGGATCACTGTCCCTGATTCGATTTGGCTGCATATGAATCTCAAGATTCAATGCTGATTCAGAGAATCCGTGACTTGGACATAGACACAACTTTAAATGTTTTTTCTACATACCTTGAGGTATCAGCATGGCTCATGAATGCTGCAATGCTAGGGCAGATGGAGCGTCCCACAGGAGCATGGGGGACCCTGCTGCATGCTTGGTGGCAAACCCAGAAGTGAACCAGAAGTACTTCCGGTTCACTCCTTGGTCTGCAGGGGAGTGTGCGGGGGGCCCCCCATGCCCGCCTGGCTCCGAGATCGGCCATGGGGGGGCCCTTGGTGCCCCTCCAGACCCAGGAGGCACCAATTGGTGAGCTGAGGGGGTGTGGGGGGGCCCCCTGTGCACCCCACATTGGACCCAGAAGTGCTGTGAGGTCTGCTGCCAGACACTGCTGCTGAGCACACTGGGGAGCCCCCCACATTTCTGTGGGGTGCCCCATCCACCCCAGCATTCACGAGCCGTCTGCTACCTAGAGGTATGCAGAAAAAACGTTTAAAGCTGTGTCTATGTCTGAATCACCAAATCTCTCTGAATCGATTCGGAGGGTTCCAATTCATAGTTTGTTGGGTCGGAAGGGACCTTAGTAGATCATCTAGTCCGATCCCCTGCCATGGCAGGAAAGAGTACTGGGGTCAAACAACCCCAGCAAGGTGTACATCTAGCCTCCTCTTGAAGACCCCCAGGGTAGGAGCCAGCACCACTTCTCTTGGAAGTTGGTTCCAGATCCTAGCCGCCCTGACCATGAAGTAGTGCCTCCTGATATCTAGCCTAAATATACCCTCTGCCAGCTTGTGACCGTTATTCCTGGTCACTCCTGGCAGTGCTCAGGGGAACAGGGACTTCCCCAGTGCCTGCTGGTCCCTCCTGACTAGTTTGTAACAGGCCATTAGATCCCCCCTCAGCCTTCTCTTGTGGAGGCTGAAAAGAGCCACCAACCACAAAGGGACTTGAACCCTCAATCTTCTGATCTGAAGTTAGACACCTTATCCATTAGGCCACATGGTCAATTCAGAGCAGTTAAAGGGTCCTCTGATTTGATTCGAATTCAGAGTTTTGGCCACTGAATCGGGCCGAATCTCTGCTGAATCGAATCAGGGACCAAACCTTTGCACAGCCCTACTATTTAATCAATCCAGAAACTGGAAAAGTAAATGACACTTACAGTGTATCCCAACAAAAGCTTTGCTAAGGGTTAGTACTGTTCGGCTAACAATGAGCTCCACTAATATAAGGTCTTAGGAAGTTTGTTTAGACTTATGGGTACTATCCTGACTCTAAAGTGTTGGGCATAGACCTCTCTCCGAAACGTGTTATCACGTGTTGGCCATTATTCTAGGCTGGTATGATGGTTTCTGTGACTTAATGTAAATAGCTAGGAGAAGATGCTGACAGGCAGGTGTCCATTTGCATCCCAAGGGATAAGGCACTTGTCCTGGTTTCATGAGCCCTGTTGAAACTGTTTAAGCTTTGTCTAAATCAGAAGCCAAGGCATTTCAAACTAGCTGGGAGAGAGTTGGGACATATTGATGATCATTGAACAGGACAGTTTTTAGCATAGTTTTTGCATATTTCTTTAATCTTCCTCTTTCCATAACATAGATCAGTTCTTGTCCTGGAATACATTTTACTCCTAATGAAGGCTATGCTGTAGCAGGCTATGCT